ATGTGGACTGCTCTGGTAAGAGCTGCTCTGGCCCTGGACTACTGAAGCAACCCTGTAATACTTGATAATGCAGCTTAATTGAAAGCACAGTGCGATTAGCCCTCATATATCTGGCCCTAAAAGAGGAGGCAGGGAGATGATAATGATGGTGGAGTTTTATACATTTGTGGAGGCTTTTACTGTGTTTCTCCTTTCCTTTCTGAATAAGATGGTAGAAACTGTTGAGTCTCTTCTGCAGCAATGGTCAAAGCCAGGGAGATAGATACAGAGTTAAAGCCCCAGAAAATACTACAGAATTTTTTTGTACATCGGAAAACAGCTGAGGACCAACACTTTCAAAAAACTTACTATGAAAACTGCTGTAGGTATTTTGAACTAAGCTGCTTTCCATTTTGATCTGAAATCTTTAGATTTGTAGTGTACTTATTTAGATCTGGGCTGTTCTTCCTCTCTTTCGTCCCTGATGTACTGTATGGTCCATTCTAAGTTGAAGCACAGGCCAATTTACATTTATTGCATGTCTTTCCTCTCCTTCTTTTGTTAGAACTTTCATCATCTGCCTTTTATTTCTTTGCTTATTTGTTATTCCTGAGGTGAATGGTTTTATGGTCTTGCCTCAGGGACATATTTACAACGCAAGACTTTAATTTGCAAAACATATGAAGACACTTTGTTCTCTGGACCTTCTTTCTTATAAGCCTTAGATTTTTATGAGATGCTTCAGGAAGTCAACGGAACAAGAATAATGCAATAGAAGAGATAGTGCAGTTGTTTTAATTATGTAGATAGAACTACAGATCTATATTTTAAAATGAAAAATTCCTTTAGCATTTCAGGGATTTTTTTGTTATGAATTATATATATTATATAACATATGGTTTCACTAAATGACTAGCAACGTTTAGATGTTTGCATGTGTAGAGCATTTTAATAGAAACACTTTGGTGCTCTTAAAAATTCAAAATAAACCCGACATCTTTAAAACTGTAAAATTTAAATATGCCATGAATGAATGTTCCTTAAGTGAGACACTTGTGTTGTTATTAATTTAGAGGAGTATAATTCCCTAATTTTTATTCTTTCATTAAATTTTTGAGTTTGTATTAAATTTCCTAAGATATTTAGCTTATAGCCACTAGGCATTTGCAAACCAAGCTTCTTAAATAACTTTAAGACTTAATACTTCAAATGGTTTTGAGGATGATATGGAGAAGTTAGTGCTAAGTTTTGTTTTCGCACCTCATTTGGAGGTTTCATACTACTAGTTAAATGATTTGGATTATTAGAGAAATTTAGGGGCTAATTGATTAAGAAGAGGACAGATACTATTGCTAATGGATATAGCCAATCCTGTGAAAACTAATAATCTAGTATTTGATTTACTTGAGCATTGCTAAGCAAAAGTTTATGGGCTAACATCATACTTAATATATTACAGTTAATGATTTCATTGTAATTGTAGATTTCTCCACATTGCATTATGTAGATTAAATTTTGGGCTGTTCTAGTGGATAGTGTACCAAAAAGTATAAAGGAGAAAAGATTCTGTAATGTTTTCAGCCAGAGATAATCAATATCGACATTTTAGTGTTAATTCTCCTAGTGCTCTCTCAGAGTTTGAACATTTTAAAGGTTTTTGCTACATATTACTAAATATTTCTCAGAAAGGTTCTACCAGTGTGCACTCCCACCAATAAGTATGCTTTAAGAGTGCCCATTGTCTGACCTTCTGGCCAATACTTTGCCAATTTAGAAGGCAAAATAAATTGTTATCATTTTTATTTGAGATTTTTGATAACTTTTAGGTTGAACTTTTTCAAGTTTTCAAGATAAAAAGTTTGACTTTTTAGCTATCATTTTTAATGAAATTGCCTTTGCTGCTTAAGTTTCTTACCATCTTCTGTGGGAACTCTAGTTAGCATTGTCATTTCGAGTGAAGAACTAAAGATTCTAATGGAATGGCCATAGTAGAGAAACAGTTACTACCAGCCACACCATTTGTGAGAGTTAATGCCTCTCTGCAGGCCCCAGTGTAAGTCTGGAGCTGACCTTACTTGAAGGACATTGTGAATTTATCTGATTTTCTGAGACGGGTAAGCATAAAAACACTGAATCCCTTCAGCATCTAGCAAACAGAGGTATAGAACCTTGCACAAAGAAATTCTAAAAATATTTTTGTGTGAATAATTATGATAAATAAAAGATACCTAACATTATTGTTAGAATCTTGGTTCCAGTAATTTGATTCCTTAGATAGGTCATAGTGAAGTTACGTTCAAGTACAATGTACTTTAGAGTTTATAAATACATTTATATATACAGTACATGTTTTAATATAATAATTACCATATGAAGTAAGTGATGTAGCTTATTTTACATTTGAAGAAACCATAGCTCAGATATATAAAGTAAACATCCTGAAGTTTTTATGGCTAGTTAGGGTTGGAGTCAGTACTTAAATCTAGGCCATTTGACTCCAAATGCCATGTTCTTTCTATCTTCATCTAAGCCTCTGATATCTATGTTACTTGTGAGCCTTCCATATATAGAAAATTTAAAACAACTAAGAGCTATAGACGTTCTTTATAATATTTAGGATATTTATTACAAATTACAAAGTCCATTCAAAGTACAATGTTTGATTATAAATATTGGTTCTTCTTGTATTTATGAACCTTATAACATGATGTGGTAGGCTAAAACAAACACGGAAACCAAGAACCGAATTAAGCCCTGAGCAGTTTCCTATCGTAGTTATGAGATATGATTACTTTCTACTAGGCACTGTGGTAGACAAAACACATGTAGGCCTTAATCTCATGAAACTGAGGGTGAAAGACATTAAACATTTTTTTCAAGTAAATATATAGCTATATTTTTATCAAATGCTGTGAAGAAAAAGTACAGGGTACAGTGAGAGTGCATAAGAGGGGACCTAATCCAGGTCAAAGAAAATCATCTTGAGAAAGTGGCATTTGAGCCCTTACAGATGAGTAGGAGCGTGAGAGGTCATAATGGGGTGGAAAAGTGGACGAAATCTATTCTGGGATATGGAGGGAACCGGGAGAAAGCCGACCAATAATGTGTGTTGTATTGTGACAGCTGGAAAAGAAGGCTCTGAGGAAGGTGTTGCTATATTGTTTACTTCAAAGGCACCACTTTAAGGCTCATTCCAGTAGCGTGTCTATTGCTTAGACCATTTTTGAAACTCTTCCTGTGACCTTGCCTTCAGATCCAACTTTGAAACACAAAGGAAATTTTATTTTTTAACCACAGAGAGTGTTTTGCAGTGTAATCACCTTCTTATTTAATAGACTTGCTTTAAAATGGCTTTTGATTATTTAGAAAATTGAATCCACCCACAAGAGGGAATATATATATATATATATTATATTATATTATTTAATGTCTAGAGTTAGGAACATGATGAACAGTATATGAATAATGCAGATTAGACTTAGCATTACATTTTGCATAGCATGGGGAAATACTTAAAAATGTAAAAATATATGTTTCCGCTTAATAGAAATTGACCTTTCATAGATATGAAAATCAACTTGTAAACAGAGGCTTAAAAATTTGAAGTACCTCAGTTTGATTCTGTTTGAGTTAAATGGAAGAAACCCATTGAAAGTTACTTGTGAATTAAAAGATCTGAGATGTTTGCTCTACTGAACTATACTTGATTGGGTCGCTGGCAGGTAGTTTTCCTATTCATCCGTAGAGACGGATCTATCTACAAATAGATGTGCATGTTTGTGTGTGCGTATGGTGCCCACGTGTGCACATAATGCAGAAGATAGAATGATAGGGAAGGAGCCTGTGAAATGAAGTCCAAAGCAAAGACCTTTATTCAAGTACCATATCTTTTACAAGCTATGTGATCTTTAATCCTTAATACCTCAATTTCTTTTTATCTATAAAACAATAGCACTTACTCATAATGTTTTCTGGATATTAAAAAAATTAATTTAGAAGTACTTTATAAACCCAAAATACTTCATGATTATGTGTATATGTGTATATGTATGTTTCATACATAGATTAATGTGTACCTTTAAAAATCTAAAATAATAAATAATAAGCAAAATAGGAGTGCTCTTAGTTGAGGACAAAGCCATAATTGAAGATCATAGTTTATAAAAGAAAGAAATCAGTTGTTTAAAGGTTTATATTATTGTATGTTTACTTTGTATCATTTAAAACTTTATATTTTTACATGTTTCTTTTGTGTTGTTATTTTGTGACATTCATGTCAAAAAAATTCACCAGTTCTAAGAAAATTTTTTAGTATATTTAAGTGACTATTTATTGATAGTGGTATGTGTGTGGAAGGAGGGGATATGAGAGGGTTAGGGCTAAAAGTTGAGAGAAGAAGGGCTAAAAGGGGTCTGTTAAGAACTGTCATGATTTAGGAGCAATTAAAGATCAATAAATATATTAGTCATCTCCATAAGTGAGCTAATTTTTAAAATCTGATTTACATACTACTTTTAGAGCATCTTTTGTAGAAAGATGGGTGTCCCTGGACATAGAGTATCCTAACATTTTATCTAAACCAGAATTAGTTGAGAATGGATGATGATCTCGGGTACACTAAAACCCTTGGCGCCTTCAGGAAGTGTCCACCTGAGAAGTGCTATGACAACTGTTATTGTAATAAATTAATAATAGTTGAAAAAGCCTCCCTGGCTTTATTTGTGGTTTTTTAATTTGTGGTAACATTCATATTTTATGTGTGTTGTTCAAGTGGGTTTTAATTGATAAGGTATGACTTTTTCCTAACATTACATAAATAATCATGTAGTCACTATGCATGGCCTTTAGAAAGGGCCCAGACTGAACATGACTCACTTTTCTTTAAAAATAAATAAATGAAGACATTTTAAAATTAAATAAGAGATTAAGACAACTAAGTACATGTTTCCCAGATGTCTCTTTAGCAGCATGACATTACAAATGCAGGCAGTGAAAGCCCTATTGTCTGTCACACTTTGACTGCTTCATGATATCAAAAGAAGGATGTATCACTTATTTTTTTGAGTCTTCTGGTCCTATGCAGCAGCCTGTACACTAAAGAGAACTATATACTCTGTTGCTGGAATTTTTCATTTTTCAGGGAAGGAGAAAAGGGTTGGGAAACGTATAATTTTTCTCCCTCTTACCCAGTGGTAACATTGAGAAGATACCTTGTCCCATTTTTATTACTTCTGAGATTTTATTGCTGGCAGCCAGATGTGCTGAAACTCCTGACGACAGCATCTATTCATTGCGTGTTTTTAATAGGCTTAGAGAAATATGAGTAGAGTACATGAAAGCAGCTCAGCTTCACACTTCAGCTGGGAATGCCCAAAAAGCTTGCTGCTGTTTAGAATTCTTGCTACAGTCAGGAGAAAGCCGAAAGCCGCACGGGTACTGAATCTTCTACGACTGAATTAGAAGAATAATGACTGTACAATTAACTATCAACCTCTGCTTGTTTAAGCACAGTTTTTACAGAGCTCAGGAGAAATATGGAACTTGATTGGCATGTTTTTATTTGATGGTGCCTGCAAATAGATGACTTTAAAGACAGGTGGTAAGGAAAAATAAGAGAGGAAAAAAAAAAAAAAGAAAGAAAATGCAATTTGAGACATTGCGCCAGGTCTGCAATTCTGTTTTATCTCATTTTCATGGGGTTTTTTCATCCCCACCAAATATTTTACAAAATGAGCTTTTTGGACAAACGCTGAACAATGTAAGGTGAGTAAAGCTAAACTATATTTTCTTTTAGTATTGATATTTGCAGAATAATAATCTTATATGTCTGTAAAATTGTTCTGTATTGAAATTAGTATTATAAGGGTGTTGTCTTTTTTTATCATAAATATCAAATTTCATGTAGTATTCTTAATTGATTTTAAGAAGACAAATAAGCTTACTTCAAAGCACAAAAAGCATCTTAAATTTAACTAGCTTGACCTCTGAAACATAATACAGGCTGCTTCATGATTTTATTTTCTAATAAATAAAACTATTAACTTAAAGTGATAGATTTTTTTCTTTGTGATCATGGCAGTGATTACATTGCATATATAAGGATGGGGCTGTGTAATCATGTGTGATTCGTTGGAAAATGTGAATTAGCAATCATGCATGCTCTTTGTAAAACATGCGGAAGATGTTTTCTAGGTCTAAGATATTTCTCTATGCAGGGTAGAGGAATAATCACTTTAAAACAAGCTATATTATGGAACTACTAAAAATGCTTTGTATTAGACTGGCTAGTTTAGAAGGATGCTTTGTTATAAATTCCTATTGCTTTTTCAACCTGATTTTGTGTGTGTGTGTGTGTGTGTGTGTGTGTGTGTGTTGAAGGTTGTTAAATTAGGGACATATGTTTTAGGTGGTTTCTTTGGCTTACACGAAAAGAGATAGGCTATTAAAGAAGGCTTTTAAAATGCAGTTTTATCTGCTAGTTCTTCTGTCATTTAAGTTGTTTGCCTTTTGAGAATTCCTAATGTTAGATCCGTAGTATAGAGAAGACCCCAAAGCTAAATATATGTGGAGAAAGACTGAGAAAGAAATTCTGTGAACATGATATTGCACTGAAACCTTCTGGAAATTGAGAGAGAACTAAGAATGCATAGAATATTGAATGGTTTTTGCTGGTCTCTTGCTTTTAGGATCTCTGAACAATGTGAGGCAGCCTGTTTTAGAGATTACAGGAATACCGATTACACAGTACGTGTTTTAATGTAGCAAATGAAAAGAAGGCTTTTACAATTTGTTGACATTTAAAATGTTTACTGATGATAAATCTGTCTATGACCTTTTCATGGAATATGGAATAACGTATCTTTTTTTTTTAATAAAAATTCACTTCTTTCCTCATTCAGTTCTATTCAATTAACTAATTTGATTTTTTTACATTTAGTTTTTGGACTAATTTAAAATATATAACAGTTATGAAATCTATATTTTGAGATATTGGGCTTTTTTAGCTTAGTAATGTATCATTTGAGTGTCTATAATTTATGGTAAAAATATCTGTATTGCATTTTACATTTTTAAAAAAGAGGCAATATGGCTTTCTTAAAATTTCTGTGACCTGAAGCTGTCAGACTTCTAGGATTTGTACTCATCCTTTATACATCTTTTCCTTGTTTCCTTGTTTTTATACATCTTTTCCTTGATTTCTATTTCTTTTTTTATACCAAGAACTTACGTGTCTAAAAATATTAATATTAGGACTGGGTGTACATTCACTTTAGCAGTTGTGCTTTTAACAGCATGGTATGGAATTAGTTTTAAAGTAAGTGTTACTAGTTTTAAAATATGAGACTTTTTTTTGAAGGAATTATGTGCATCCCTACTACTATTCTTTTGCTTGAGTTCAAGTTTCTTTTATTGTTGTCATGCTTAAAATTGCAATGCTCCCAATTATTAAAAACCTGGAATTTTATGTTGCTGCAGTTAAACATTGTGAAGTTTCTAATGCTTCTGTGAGACCAGTCTTATTTAACTTATTTTGATTTTTTTAATCTAAAATTAATGGAAACTACCAAGTAGTCAATAAAAAATTTATTCTGCTTTAGCAGGAAAAAATCCCCTGCCTTTATATATTTTTGACTTCTTAATCTTCAAAAAACATGACAATTTTTTCACAGGTAGATCTATTATCTTCATAAATATAAACTACTCGATTTACTTTAAAATCAATCAAAACCAGTTACACAAATAGTTGTTTTTTTAAAGTATGAGAGGTGAAAACAAGTTTATATGAACTTGCAATTAATATCTCCACATATTTTAATGTCTTGAGATTTTATCGTTCTTACTTTGTGTTCAGATCAGATACAGTGGTCTTTTAAAATTCATATTCTGCTTACGCATTGAATCAGAAAGTAAGATGTAGACTAAAAAACCATTTTTAAAGAAAACATTATGGAACAAGGATGACCTGAGTATGTCATCAGAAGATGTGCTCTTACAACAACTTTAAAAATCTTTCTAAATAATTGGGCTTTCAACTTTGTGGACTGGACATCAGTGGTCTTGAGAGTTGAAGCATCAATTATATAACTAACACTCTTGAAGGAACAGTTTTGGTTGCTATGACATGAATAGTAATTGTTTAAGTGGATTAGTTGAAATGGAATATTCAGTTCCTGTACTATATTGTGACGTTAAGTATGATCTTTAAAGTGGCAGAAAAATAACATCATAGATATGGACAATTGTATTTTATTCTGAATTGCTTTCTTGGAGGAATTACTAGACCAGTACAATGTGTCAATCATAGACAATATACTATTAAAAGGGGACTATTTCAAATAGTTTTCTTGAGAGTTTTTCTAGGTAACTAATCTTATCCTTAAATCTGCAACTCAACTTTTGTCAGGTTTTCAGGTGGTAGGGCAGTTTACTTCTATGACATATAAGCAATGAAATGTAAAGAAATAAAATCTCCCATAATAATTCTCTAAAAACATTTCCAGGTTCAACTTGTCAAAGAAATAAAGATTTTCAATACAACAATAATATTTTATGTATCACAAATCACTTAACTGGAGATAAATATAGCTTATTAAAGTATTTTATTATCTAGTGAGTAATTGAAATTTACATAGGAGTGAAAAGCATCAACATTTTAGACGGATATTTTGTTGGAAACCATATAGTCCGATCCTTATGTTCCAAACTGAAAGTTCTTAGTTGATTCTCTTATCATTGTGGTTCTTGAGTATCCTTTTCGTGCATAAAGGAGGTGGCAGGATATCCTGTGTTCTTTTACATCTAAAATAAATCAACTAAAGTTCTAGCAAGAAAAAAAAAATCGATGTCTGCTTCCAAAGTAAATCCACTTGATAGATTTTGATGAAATGCCACTTTAAATTCTTAGTGTCAAGTTTTCTTATTGTAAACTCATTTTCCCCCAAATTAAGTTAATCAAGATACAAACATAATTGCTTTTGTCACCAGTAAAAAAGTCCTCAAGTATTATGAAATCTAAATTTTGTGATCTTATCTTTGGAAGCAAACAAAAATACTGAGATGGTAGATGGTATTTAACAGTGTGCACTGCACTGAGGTAATCAGCTGCCTTGAGCAGTATTCAGATGAACATGATAATGATGATTATCTTTTGTGATAAAATTTGTGGGAAAATGTACTTAATATTCTCTAAGTTTTTCTCTTTTCTCAGTTTTAGTAATCTTTCTTGTACAATAAAGAAATCTGTATTTTCCTCCAAACCTTTAATTATTTCTTTGTTACTAAATGTATGACAGTGAATTTGCTGTGCAGGCTGGCCACACAGGGGCATAATAGGACTGGAATTTATTCAGAATAGATATTAAAGACAGTCTTCCTTTCCTTTCCATTTTCATGTAATGAGATAGGAAGGCTTTAATATTTAAAAGTAAGATTTAAAAGACCTAGGAGAGCAAAGAAGATTTAAATTTGTTGGTGTTTTCAGTTACAAATAAACTAACCATATGATCTGATTTGCCTGGACTGGTCCCAGTTTATGCCTGCTGTCCCCCACTAATTATTATTAGTACTGCTTTTCTGTCTCAGAAGTGTTATTATTTGACAATAAATTACAGAGCCACTCTTATTGTAAAATTAAAATGTAAATCTTGAATTCATAGTGTAAATGGGTTCTTTTCCACTAAAACATTTCTACAGTCTAAAACAATATTATTTTAAATACAACTTGATTTTGCAAAATAAATGTTTATTTCATCTGGTAGTGTTTTTGGTCAGAAGTATTTAGTCTTTTACATAGCATTTACTATTGCTTTGGTTTATAATGAAGCCATCAATTTGTGCTCAGGATTTTTGGCACAGACACCTGTTATTCATCATGGCACATTAACGACTACTTTGACATTGAAAGAACAGCATGCTTACTTTTCATAGTTCTGAGAGTGCAGTCTGTGCAGCGTGCAGTGTTTGGAGTTGGTATGATCACAGCACAATGGATTTTTCATGATAAGAACACACTTCATGAGCAGTCTGTATTCTGAAATACAAAGAACCCAATAGGCTGATATGAACGCATGTACACACACATGCATATATTTATGTATATATAAACCCTCTTAAATGTATAATTATAATAATAATTATTATTATAGACATAAAATTTATCTTAACAATTATCTCTTTATATTTCTAATCGGAATGACTTTTGATTCATAGATGTCTATCATTAATATTTCTACCAGAATATTTACTGTCGATCTTAGCTCTATACCACAGTATCAGTATAGATACTTAATGATAAGGAGATATAGTCTTTAAGCACTGTTTTCTGTATTCAGAGAACTTTTTATAAAGCTATTGCTTTCACTGATGACTGACAGGTAAAAGTTAACTATATATTTTAAAATTAACAGCTTTCGTATGACCGTATAAAATCTTAAAAAACTCAAAGAAGAAAATTACTGGCAAACTTTTGTTTAATTCTAGCACTATTCACTGAATAGTAAAATGAATTCATTTCATACATGCTGTGGGCTCTCTTCATATCTGTTTATGAATTAGTCACGAAGATTCATGTACCTAAGAAAAGAATTCGGAGGACTGATCTAGGAATTTTGCTTCTGAATTTGAGAAGTTTTAAGTATCTCAGAAATGTGTGTGAGCACTTCCTTTGGGGCAAAATGAAAAAAGTCACTGCACATTAAAACTGTGATATTGTAAAACATGACGGCTCCTTATTGTGCCTAGTGTTTTTCAAACCATGCTTCTTG